TTTCATTGAAAACGCATGTGGAAGAGAGTAATTATGCAGAGAAGATTGGTGTTAAGAAGTGGATGGAGGAGAATGACATTCCTGGAATGGTGGACCGATACACTACCACATTATATGAAACAGTGTCCACACAGATTGATAGTTTGGCAGTGCAGTATAATCTGACAGAACTTGTGACTGGAATTAAGCATTTCATGACAACTCCAACTGTGGATTCCTCAGAGCAATCAACAGCTTTGATTACTCCCTCTCCATATGCAGAGAAGCTTTTGAGTTTGAGGAAGATGGTGAAGGACCGTAAATGGGGACAGATATATACAGAACTGGATGTTATCTTTAGAGAATTCTTAATCACCAGGGAGGATTTAGTTGACAAGGCTAAAGGGTTTGCAGTTAGATGGATGGATGTTTCACAACAGGTGCTTACTAGTGGTGCTTCTGTTTTAGGAGGAGGTGCAAAGCTCATGTTCTCCATTGGAAATTCTATCATCTCTGGGGCAGCTGAGGTTTTCAATTTTGTTTCTAAGTTGATGGTATTCTTTTGGGTTCTGTATTACCTCATTACATCAGATTCTGGTGGGGTAACGGAGCAAGTAATGTGTATGCTTCCAATCTCCAAATCAGCAAGGATAAGATGTGTTGAAGTTCTTGATAATTCCATTTCTGGCGTCCTTCTGGCTACAGTTGAGATTGCACTCTTCCAAGGATGTCTTACATGGCTTTTGTTTAGGCTGTACAAAATACACTTCTTATATATGTCAACAGTCCTTGCATACATCAGTGCTCTGTTGCCTATCTTTCCACCTTGGTTTGCAACAATTCCAGCAGCTTTGCAACTTCTCCTAGAAGGAAGATACATACTTGCCATCAGTTTGTCCATTATTCACATTGTGCTTATGGATTATGGAGCATCTGAAATTCAAGAGGATATTCCTGGTTACAGTACCTATCTCACAGGGCTTAGCATCATAGGTGGAATGACATTATTCCAATCTGCACTAGAGGTAACTCATTGGTTATTTACTTTGCAAAAATTTCCTCCACAGATGGTAGTGTGCAAGTTTCTTCTTTCTTCAACAATATTGGAGCAACATTTTTTGAAAGAATACGGTACTTAATTAAGTCCATTTCATTTTGATCTTGATAACTTCATTAAGAAAGGTAACCTTGTAAAGTTTGTTTGCATAAGAAAAAGGATTGATCTAATTTGTTTCGACTTTCAAACTGAATCCAACGCCCTATGCTTTTGTTTTATGACTTCATATTCTCTTTAACTAAGTAACAAATCGACTAGCATCTTTGTAGATAAACAAGTTAACCAAGCTTCCTTTGTCCTTTTCTTTCTCCCTATGATTTTGGCAGTTTTACACGTTGCTTCTAATTTTGAAGCCGTTCTTGATTTTATATTATGATAGGGAGCAATCATGGGGCCATTAATCTCTACAGTTGTGATTGCTCTTAAGGACGTATATGCTGAATTCGTCCTGGATGAACCAAAGAAAAGTAATTAGTGTGGAACGCTTCTGTCCACACGGTGTGATCATTCAGTTTTCCAAGAATTTGTTCTCACTGTCAAACACTTCTGCAACCGTGTTGAGACCTGGTTTATATTAGCTTTGCTTGGTTCAGGCAACTTAAACAGAAAATTTTTGAAGACGCTTGATTTGTAATATGCAGATCCAAAGTTTATTCAACGATATGATCCCTATCCCTAGGGTGCAAAATTTACAGGGGATGAGGATTATTTATTTTCTTGTCCTTTGAGAGCACTTTGAACGAAGAAATTTGTACATTTTCATCATTCTGCATGTAAGATTACGTCTAACTTATGTCGACCGTGTGTTTATTTCTTTGTTAACTTGGAAATATTGTTCATTTTGCTGCAGCCTTGCCATAGAGCGCATTGTGTATTTCTGAATTCTGATCCTAAAAAGGTTTTCCTTTTTTTAGACAAAGATATAGGCTCCTTCCAAGGGTATAGTCAGTATGCTTTTCAAAAAATTTCTGAGAAATAACTCAATGAAAGGAAAATATTTATAACAAAATCACAAAGTCCACAGAAGTAATCTCAGATAATGTGAAGCTCCATAACCATACCTCAGCTGATAATATTAAAGCCAGAACTGAACCACAACCTTATCCACGACAAGTCTGATCAACAGTTAAGGTCCAAAACTACAGAAAACAGCCCTCTGAAGCAATTTACTTCTTTTCTTCCTTCTCAGCCTCTGCTGCCTTCTTCATTCTGGCACCAATTTGGCGTTTGTTCATCCGTTCCACACGAAGCTTGCCATATGCCTTGAATGACTTCATCTCTTCAGTGACCTTCACAAGCTCAACAGATGGCTTCTGACGTACAAGAGGCATGTATTGTCCTTGAACTTGAGTTGCTGATGCCAGTTCCTCAGGAGCAGAGTCACCGGCCTGAAGTTAAAGAGAAACCAAAAAGACAATATAGAGAGGTCAAAATTGAGACAGAATTAAAGAAGGCAAATCGATATGCAATGACTGTGCATAAATACCTTGAATTTCCGTGAGCGCCTTGGGAAAACAACCAATTTGGCCTTGTATGTCTTGAGCCTCTGAACATTGGCTTGAAGACCCTCTAGGGAACGATTCTTGCGACGGTGATCAACTGCTATGCCAATGGTAGGCGCAAGCTTCTTTGAGATGCCTGCAGCCTGATCAGGAAAAGAAAAAAACAGTGAAACCACCTTATAAAGGCCATTTATAGATAAGTAACAGACAGATGGTAATCCTAGGACCATAACAAAAGTAAACATTCAATATGCACAACAAGACAGGTATCCATCTAGAGTCTAGACTGTGATGACAGCACCAACATTTCTCTTTTTTTTTGGGGAGGGAAGGGGAGTGGAAGCAGTATTTGTGCATGATTGAACCACTAGCAAACAAAAATGTCTCAACCAATAGATAGAAAAATATACCCTGATCCCAAGGTGAGATAAACCAAATGAGTTATAGCAGGTCAATCAGGAGTCTTAAAAGGAAGAGTACGGAACCAAGACTAAAGAGGAAACAAAATTAGAGAAAGCGACTGGAAACAACCCACCTTGAGCTCCTCGAGAGTGAACCCTCTACCAGCCCTCAGTTTCATGTTATACTTCAAAGTCTGACCATGGACAATAGGGCGTAGGGGGCCAGCAGTAGGCCTGGGGAAAATCTTCACCGCCTTCTTTTGTCTAGCTATAATAGTGAGAAAAAAAGAATAATACAAGCACGTCAAACAACCAAAAAGATAGTGCAAATTTTAACCTGAAAACCAAAATGAACGCCCAAGAAAAAGAATCAAGAGATGAATTAAAAAAACATAAACACAAAGAGCCACCTACCAATTCTCCTTCTGTTCTTCCTAGCTGGTTGATTGAACCATGTCTTCACATAGTTCTGCCAATGCTTTCTAAAATGAGAATGAGGCACGACATTATTGTGCTTAACCATGATTTACCTGTACAACAAGCCATTCACATGAACATTAAATGTCTTGAACGTATCAAGTCGACTTTTTTAACTCAGGATTCTCTGAAAGATGGCAACACAACACTAGCATATTCTGATAATAGGTCCAAGTTAACACCATACAGAAACAATTGGCATTGCCATAATCCATTCACTAACATATAAACTGAATTAAGAATGTCAGCAATACATTTCAAGTTGGCCGCTTTCTAGAAACAAAATCACAACAACCCTTACAGCTCCAAGCCCATCCCATTCCGAACAAGGTATTTCATAAGAAGAAGAAGAAGAAGAGATTAAGAACACATATTAAATCCTGCAATTTATATGAAGCAATTCCTTAAAAACACATGAAAAAAATCTAGGAGCTGTAACAAAAAAGATGACGTTTTTCTCATACCCAGTTGGAAAAAATGGAAGAATCTGATTATTAAAAGAATTTGAAAAAGAGAATACATAAATTTATGAAAGAAAAGCAAAAGCGCAGCTTCCAAACATATACATATATCGTTTTTCATAATTCATTCAGGGTTCTCACTCACATATACAACTGCAAACAAAGATAAAGAGTCAGAAAGAAGCATCAACAAGATGCAAAAATGAGATTGAGAGAGAGAAACCAAACTCACAAAGTCGCAGCCGCTTGAGGCAGAAGTGGGAAGACGAGACTAGCTCTCCCCGCCGTCTAGGTGAATAAATAGTTAGGGTTTGGAACAGGGTGTAAATAAAATGATAAAATCATAATAGTCTTGGGCTTGGGCCGCTACTAAGGCCTGCTACAACTACAATCAGTTTTTGAAACTTGGTTGTAGTCAATCTTAGGATGGGTGAGAACTGAACTCTTAAGAGTGATCGACTATGATATTACATTGAGAATTTTATTTTATAATTTGAATTGTATTATATTATAAAATAAAAATTATTAAATATTATATAATAAGAATTATTGAATAGAGGGAGAACCCTTTGATATTGGAAACCTTCTTTATTTAATGGTTAGCGTAATGCAATTTAATCCGATCCAAATTATACTATATTTTTTGAATAATATATAGCCCATTATTATTATTAGGGTTTTTATATCTTGTATTTTCAAGATACAAATAAAAAGTATAATAAATATCTTTTTTTTATAATTTATTTTCATTGAAAGTATAAATGTTGGTTTCAATTTAATTAATTAACTAATTAAAGTTATTTATATGTCAATAGTATTAAAATATATGTTAACTTTTATAATTTTTTAGTACATTAATTATAAAAAAATACA